TGTTTAGTGTAGGGCTATGGTTCAAGCTGCTCTACCACTTAACAGCTGTGGGAAAGTTAGTAAACCTTCCTGTACTTCAGTTTCCTCATCTGTGCAATGGAGATAATTATAGAGTACCTCGTAGATTACAAAGATTAAATGGGTTCGTGTATGCTAAGTGCTTAGAGCACTGACTGATACGTAATAAACTGCACATAAGTGGTAGGTGTTGTTATTGTTTTTTGACACTGTCATTGCTGAAATTTAACACCTGTCTTCTACACTAGACTGTCATTCATTCAGTCATTCGTTCTTACAAACATGGATCGAGCACCTATTGAGTCTGACACTGTTCCAAGTACTGGGATACGACCATGAATCAGACAGATAAGGTCCCTGCTCTTCTGATATTGAAGAGTCTCGTGGGGGAGGTGGGAAAATAAACTATAGCACTTGAAGAGTCTGTTAGGTACTAATGAGTGCTGTGATAAGACTAGAAGAGGGTGGGGCGAGGGAGTATGTGGTCAGAAGGTTTCTCATAGGCCTGAATGACAAAGGAGCTAGCTATGTAACCACGTGGGGGAAGAATGTTCTAGGCAGAGGGAAGAGCAAGTACAAAGGCCCTGCCTAAGCCTGGCATGTCTAAAGACCAGCATGGCAAAAACATAGCAAGCAAGGCGGATGAATGGTCCAAGACGAGATCAGAAAGGAAGCAAGAGACAGATGACGGGTGGGCCTGAAGTCAGGGCGAGGGCTTAGGTTTTACTGCAAAGGTGATGGGTAGCCAGTTCCGGTGAGGTGGGGAGGGGTGGGGAAATGACCTGGGTTATATTTTAAGTAGATCTGGTGACCGTGCCAGAGTCACCCCCCATTTTAGCCACTGTTCCAAACAAGCCTGCTGGTAAAGTACTAATATTATAATCCTTGTTTTACAGGCATGGACATCATGGCATAGAGATTAAATAACTTCCGTTAAGGCATAAAGTTAGACGTGCAGGGCTGGAGTGCAAACCCAAGCAGCTTGACTCCAGAGCCTGTGCGCTCCTAACCACTAACCTACACTGTCTCAGACGGTAGAACGGCCCCGGGAGCATGAGGGCAGAGACCCTGTTTGTATTCTAGGTACCCCTGGCCTGGTGCAAAATAAGTCCTCAATAAATGTTTGCTGAATGAATGAGTGATGTGAAAACACTTTGTAAATTGAGAAATGCTATGTAAATATTCTTATTAAGAAATCCGTCAGGTTTTAGGAATTCCAATCATCTCAAATCCCTTTTAATGCTTAACAGATTTTCCTGGGAGTGGGGAAAGATTGCAATTAGAACATTTACTTGGTGCCCGAGTTGCTTTAACTAGAGGCAAACTGCAGCTTGGCAAACCTGGCCTGGGGCAGGTGGAGCAGAGGTCTGGGCTAAGAAAACTCCAGCAACTGGATCTTGTCCAGTAGGGCCTCTAGAAACTCCAAGAAAGGAATTCCTTTCCCCATCTTCTTTCTTTAACTGTCAGTGAATGAATCTGGTCAAGCATTTGACTCATACAGGTGGGAAAACATTTAAAATGAGAAAGGCCTGATATACATAATGCTTCTGAATGGCTCGATATACATATTCAAGGCAGGAGAGTGGCCTTGCACTTTCTCAACCCACTTAATCTCCTTGGAGTGATTTCTTCCGTGTGTCTCCTTCAGCCCCAGCGGGAAGGCCTTGTGGAACTCTCCCCACAAACCCCAGAACCTCCAGAGACTCCAGCCCTAGGAGGGGAAAGGCCACTGGTGGACTAGGGAAGCCCAGGGCTGGGAGGGACTCCTAAGGGGGCAGTTACTTGGACCCTGGTGCCCTTTCTACTCTATCCCTGGGGCTTTCTCACACCTTTACAATGGAGTAAATCCCTTTTTAAGGACCTCCCACTCTAACTACAGTCCACAGCATTCTTACATACATTTATAGCTTACTTGCTTTTCACGAGTACCTGTGATGGAGGCACCCTGATTTACCTCATTTTACAGGTGAGAACACGGAGGCTCTTTTTCAAAGGAGAGAGACAAGCTCTAAACTCGGGGAATCCCAGATCCAACCTCGGATCCAAATTTGTGGGGCACTTGCTGTGAGTGGAGACTGTTTGGTGCTTTACCTATCCAATCGCCTGGGTGCTGGCATTAAACCCATTTTTTGGATGTGTAAACTGAGCTGCGCGACAAGCAACTGACCAGAGGCAGCCAGAACTCAAACCTGGCCGGCACCCAAGGACATCCCCCTTCCCGAGTGGCAGCCTGGGCCAGCGGGGTCCTCCCCTCTGCAGGGCGGGGTGGCGGGGCGGGAGGGGCGCGCTTTCTCACCAGGACCCTCTCTGGGACCGAGAGCGGCGCCCCGGCTGCCTCTTTCTAACTCCTGGGAGAACTTCCCACCGGTGGCAGGGGCGGGCGTCGGGTGGCCCTCGGCGCAGCTTTGTCCCACCCGCCCCACCTGAGGGG